AACTTTTAACTTTAAAAATTATAATAGATTGCAGGATTGACAAATTAGTAAGAGTGGATACAATTCCTGCATCTTCCTAAAGCGGATATGAGAATAACTACATAGACAAATATTAAATATTAAAATATTAAGTATATTAAATAGACAATAAAACAGTATATTCTTGCTCACGATTTTCTTAGAAAGTGTTGTTGGCGATATCCACGAATAACGGTTTTTAGAACGGGATTAGGAAATGTAATTAGATTTCGAAACAATCTGTAAAGATCCATTTAGGGAAATGGAATTAGTAGTAACTCTTCTCCACACATCGTCAAGACAAAGTGGTTGATTTTGTTAGTGTATTTCGATATATATTTTGAAAAATTTTTTAAAAATATCGAATTTTGTGCATCTTTCATATATTGTATAATATTTGCATTTCAAACTTTATTCTAAAAAAACCAATTTATAGTTAAAGTACGAGTAGATAGGCAACTTTTATCTATATTCTAAATTGTTTACTTAAGCCATTGTAATGGAGGACTTTAAGTTGTAGTTAAACCTTAACAATGCGTTTAAGTTGTATTTGCTTCCATCATTTAATAAGGAAGCAAATAAATCTAAATTTTTTGTTAAATGTATAAGACTGTATAGACGGAACTATTTTTATTCTATAGAAATAACAATTTAAGTTCTTAATCGGGTTCTAAATGCCTTTAATCTCATTTCATTTATGGTTACTCACACAGAATATCAGCAGAAGTATTATATCCTACTAGTCATAGAGAACAGTCTGTCATGTCTGACAAACCCATACTATTTATAACGTAACCTAATCTAACTACCTGTCAGCTGTTACCGTAAAGTACATTTAAACGTTATAATTTAAATTTTTCAGTACTCAAAAGCGATAAGTTCAATATACCTGAATTCTTTTTTCATTTTATGACATCTAAATAAGAAGTCTCAAAATTATAGAAGGAATAATAATCTCGAAAATTGTAGTAGTTTGACCTCAAAAATAGTTTAAACAAGTTAGGTTTTCATTATACTGAAAGTGGTACATTGAAAAAATTGCCAGTCATACAAGTCACAGTCCATAGTCTGTTATCTCAGACAAACCCATACTATATAGAACGTAACGTAATCTAACTACCTGTCAGCTGTTACCGTCAAGTACATTTAAACGTTATAATTTAAATTTTTCAGTACTCTAAAGCGATAAGTTCAATATAGCTGAATTCCTTTTTCATTTTATGAGATCAGAATAAGAAGTCTCAAAATTATAGAAGGAATAATAATCTCGAAAATTGTAGTAGCTTGACCTCAAAAATAGTTTAAACAAGTTAGGTTTTCATTATACTGAAAGTGGTACATTGAAAAAATTGCCAGTCATACAAGTCACAGACCATAGTCTGTTATCTCAGACAAACCCATACTATATAGAACGTAACCTAATCTAACTACCTGTCAGCTGTTACCGTCAAGTACATTTAAACGTTATAATTTAAATTTTTTAGTACTCAAAAGCGATAAGTTCAATATAGCTGAATTTCTTTTTCATTTTATGAGAACAGAATAAGAAGTCTCAAAATTATAGAAGGAATAATAATCTCGAAAATTGTAGTAGTTTGACCTCAAAAATAGTTTAAACAAGTTAGGTCTTCATTATACTGAAAGTGGTACATTGAAAAAATTGCTATGAAATGAGCGTTGATTTGATTTTAAAAAGAATTGCAATAAAAAAGACGATAACTGTAAAGAAAAAAATAAATTTAAGGACAATAGTTGCTTCTAATTTTGAATGAGAAAGTTTTTCGAAGTTATTTTTTGATAAAATCGCGAATATTTCGGCGTATAACCAACAATGACCCTTGCGAATAATTTCAGGTCATTGACTGCGGTTGATAAGGGCAAACGCAATAGAAGTGGAAAGTAGAAACCAAAAATGCGAAAGTACACGGAAGCATAAAATTAGAAAGGAAAAGAAAATACATTAGCAAGGATGCGACAGTTTTTCTTTGAAAAACAAAAACAAAAAAAAAGCAAAACTAAGAGAAAATTTATTTAAAAAAAAATTTTCAACATAAAATCCATACAAAAGAAAACCCTTTGAGAGGACATTGAATGACAACGCATCTGTGCACTGAACTGAATGTGTGAGCCCAAGATTTTTCGTAAATACGTACCACAAATTTTATGGTAAGCGAAAACCGGTGGCAATTCTTCCAGTCCACGACGAATGAAGTAGAAACGGCGGGTGTGAATGGAAATTGGACGGGTGCATTGAAATATGGCATCGAAAATTGAAATTCGTTTGGCGTTTTTATTTCATTTTTTGGAAAACAATTTTCTGATTTTTTTCGATATTGAATATTTTCCTTTCGGTTTACGCCTTCTAATGATTGCAAAAAGGGTTAAGGTGCGTTTTTTCGCTAAATTTAATTACACCAAAATGTGCTTTGCTGTTGGCTTGAAAAGGTCAAGTTTGGTTGCAAATTTTATTACAAGAATTTTTATTTAAAAGATATTTGACAGCAGTTTTTTTGCAACTTTTAATCATTAAAAGTTGTGATGCTCATAGGATTTTTTCCCTTTTGAAGATTTGATTTCTTTCACGAAATATTCAAGAGATTATTTCTGCTTTCTGTTAATGACTTGCAATGAAATTCTTAGTTGTTTTTATGTGATAATCACAGACTCGCGAAATCTTCCCTCTAATTTCTTAATAATTTATAGTAGAAATCCATGTACAAACAATAATATATTTTTTTCTTGCTTTATATCGGAATTTTAAATTTGTAAATTGCAACAATCATTGTG